TAAAAAATAAGCCATGTAAAGATGAATATTACACGGAGAATCTGGATGTGTTGTCTTTGGGATTTTTAACTGCAGAAAGACATTTGATAGTAAAGACTGCTCAGTTAAATCAACGTGTATATTTTAAACGTTTTTCAGTTTCGAAATTTATGTCTAAGGATGTGTTGCTTTGGAAAGGAGACTCTGCTTTTGTTCCCACAGAAAGCCAGAGGCTATGGATTTGTTCCAGATTAAGATACATCAGGTTTGACCAGCCAAGACCCACTGAAAGGTCTCCGGTGACACCATGGCCCAGATGATCCAACATCCAAAATGGTTTGAAGGCAACTGGCTCAGAAAATACAGCCTCATGGACTATCCCATAATCCTAAAATTTTCTTTGTATCCCCATAAGATACAGCGCCCCCTTCCAGCAGGAAGTAGTAAGAGAAGCTACGCCCAAATTCCCAAATTATATGTCATTTTACTTTGTTAAGGTTAGAACCTTCCTTTTTGAAAAAAAAAAGGGGGGGGGGGAAGTGCTGTGGGATGTTCTATATGTCCTGTGAGAGCCCATTCTCGGGTTCCTCATGGCTTTACCCAGTAGGTCCGCATAGAGGATGATTAGGACCACGAGCCTGAGTGCAGGTGTCTGAGATGGTCTGCACTTGGCTGTGCTGTGGGATGGTCTGTATGTCAAATTGCTCTGATTGGTCAATAAATAAAACTGGCCAGTGGCTAGGCAGGAAGTATAGGCGGAACTAACAGAGAGGAGAAATAAAAGAACAGGAAGGCAGAAGGGGTCACTGCCAGCCGCCACCCTGACAAGCAGCATGAAAAGATGCCGGTAAGCCACGAGCCGTGGCAGGGTATGGATTTGTGGAAATCGACTAATTTAAGCTATAAGAACAGTTAGCAAGAAGCCTGCCATGGCCATACAGTTTTTAAGCAATATAAGTCTCTGTGTTTACTTGGTTGGGTCTGAGTGGCTGTGAGACTGGCAGGTGACAGAGATTTGTCCTGACTGTGGGCAAGGCAGGAAAACTCTAGCTATAACTTTCCATTTGTTAGTACCTTGTATTCTTCAAAACACGGAATGGACAAGAGGGGACAATGAACGAGCCACACAATGCCAGGTTTTATGTCAGACAACTGGATCCAGACACTCAACCTCTGTCTATCGTGGTCTGTGTCCACTGCTCTCTTCTGCATTTCAAGGAGACATGGCAAGGACAGAGCAAAGAACGGGTGTAGTATGAATCTTAAAGGATCTTATTAATAAAATCAAACCTGCGGCCAGGTATTGGGGTGAATGCTGGAAGATCAGAAAAGCAAAACAAGCCACAGCTACCTTACCTTGCCTGTTCCTCAGCTGATCCTGTTTCCTCAGCCTGGAAGCCTGAGTCCTCATCCAGAATGAATCTCAGCTGAACTGTGCTGCTCGAAAGCCTGAATGCTTAACCAGCCAAAAGCTTCTAGTTTCTGGTCCTCACACCTTATATACCTTTCTGCTTTCTGCAATCACTTCCTGGGATTAAAGGCTCACTTCCTGGGATTAAAGGTGTGAGTCACCATGCCTGGCTGTTCCCAATGTGGCCTTGTACTCACAGAGATCCAGGGGGATTTCTGCCTCTGGAATGTTAGGATTAAAGGCGTGTGCTACCACTGCCTAACCTCTATGTTTAATATTGTGGCTGTCCTGTTCTCTGACCCCAGATAAGTTTATTAGCGTGCATAATATTTTGGGGAACACAATACCACCACAAACGGGAGCTGTTGATGCTTAGATGTAATTCTCTAGCACGGTGTTGTAACTCAGGAACTGGAGTAAATGATATGGTTTGAATCGCCTGAGGGGTTAATTATGCAGCCTGAGCTGTTAAAACATTTCTGCTCATCAGATATAGAACTGAGTTTTAGTCAGTGCGAGACCCACCAGGAAAAAGAGCACCTGTCTTACTCTGGCCTCAGCCAAAAGATTGCTAAGTCATTGGCCGAGTGATCTGGCTAGTCATGTGTTCACATTTAGAAAGTTCACGATGGCTTCAAGGGGTGGTGTGGTGGTGGTAACGGTGTTTAACTCTCTGAGGCCAGCCAGGCCTTGCAATGCATCCTAGTGAACCCATCTGAACCTTGCTGGCTGTGAGTGGAATCATGGCTTCTCAAGGACAGAAGGAAGAGTGCTAATATGAGGAGGGGGCATCGACACTGGGCCTGGAAACGACCACTGACCTTCAGCTGATATGCTCAAAATAAACAAAAAAAGGGGCCAGGGAGACCCGCATTCAATCCCTAGGACCCATGTTAAAAAGACAAAAATGAGGGGAGTGAGGGTGGGCTGGAGAGATGGATCAGCAGTTAAGATCATTTGCTGCTCTTCTAGGGGACTGGGATTTAGTTTCTAGCACCCACCTGGTAGCTCACTACCTGTAACTCCAGCTCCGGGGGGATCATGATGCTCTCTTTCGGACCCCTGAAACCTGAGTTACAGACAGTTGTAAGCCTGCCTTGTGGGTGCTGGAAACACAACCCAGGTCCCAAGCAACCAGTGTTTTTAAGCATTGAACCAATAGCCCCACCTAGTGGTAACTGTAGGAAACTGCACGTTCCGATGTTTTTGTTTTTTTGTAGGTGGAAATGATTTTTAAGCAGGGCACCATGGGTCAAGCCTCCTACTTTTCTGGTCGGGTAGGAGTTAAAGACATTTTCTCCATAGTATGCAAAATAAAGAGGGTGTGATACAAGGAACCAGACTGAAATACCTGGTCCCTGACTTCCTGCCCAGCAACCCCTTTTCAATGTAAGAGAATGGAGTCAAAATGTCTCTACTTCATAAAGCAAGATATAGTTGTGTGTGTGTGTGTGTGGGGGGGGTCCCTGCAGGTATTACAGCCCTTAGGTATAAACGAATCTCAAAGAGGTGAGAATGAAAACAGCCACACTTGGTCAGTCAGACTGGATCAAAACGTCTAAGGCAGCGATTCTCAACCTGTGGGTCGTGACCCATTTGGGTCCGATATCCTGGATAGCAGATAATTACAACTCACAACGGTAGCAGAATTACAGTTGTGAAGTAGCACCAAAATAATTTTCTGGCTAGGGGTCACCACAACATGAGGAACTGTATAAAAAGGTTGCCGGGTCACGAAGGCTGAGAACCACTGCTCTAGAGTCTGGTCCCGTGGCTTTATTTTCTTACACAGTAAAATTTTGTGGGGAGTGGAGGTGTGTGTGTGTGGGGAAGAGAGTTGCCATGTGACAATTCTCATAACAAAGCTTCAAGGGTGGCTTCCTGGAAACTCTTGCAAAATACCCTCTATAGCACAGTACCTGAGGTCTTTATCATAAGAATGAGCTCTATTGATTGGGAAACTGCTCAGGTCTCGGGCCTAGGGGAAGGATTTGTAATAAGGACCGATTCTGTGGATGGAGGATGCAGAGTGCATGGGACTTCTTTCATGAAGAAGTTCTATTTACTGAGAAACACAGGCAGGATTTGTGGGAAATTCAGATGGAGGTCAGACCAGATGATTGTATGAACGCGCTCACTGCAGCGTTCCAGGTGACCAGGCGTCATTCTCCTTCCGTAGAAGTAAGCAGGCCCGTGTGCCTAACAGTTCTGGTTCCTCTAGAGCTTACTCTAGGCTGCTCTCCCTACGTAGCTGTGTAAGAGAAAATCTAGTGATGGATTTTTCTCAGATTTAAAGGCAGGGTCTTTCTGGGAACTATTTTGGGACAGAAGTTAATTGGGTTACTCTATCAGTTACTGTTCTCCAGAGAAACAGATTCAGTCCAGTGTGTGTTATAAAATCCACTCAACTGGATATCTCAATGTAAATGTTAGGAACACTTACCGAAGTAGAATACGGCAGCAAAGACCAATTCTTAGATGCTGATTTACTGATCTACTTAGTGATGTAGAGCATTGTTTCTACTGCCTATTTGCCAAGCATGACTTCACTTGCTACCTAAAACAGAAAGAACAACCCGGAGAAATAGCTGAAACCAAGGCTGTCGCCCTTAACCACCTGCTGACTGCTCCACTTCATCTTGCTTGCTTGCCTGCTCTAGCTGTGGTTTTGGAGGAATTGGAACCGGACCAATCCCAAGGCCTTTGAGGAGCAATTCTGGCTTCCAGCCACCGGTGACATCGCCTCTCTTCCCCTCCCATTGGTATCAGAGTGCTTATTCCAGAAAGATTTCTGCAACATTACCAACCAGAAAAGCAAGGGGCAGAGGATGAGTCATCCCCAGGATCCATGGAAAGGTGAAAGGAGAGAAATGAATCCAGGTGTCCTCTGACTCCCCCCACACCATGGCACTCACACACATAATAAACTTACAAAGCCAAAGGGTCATTTGGCTCCTGGGTTCATAAGCTCTTGGGTCTATGATGCTTATTTTCAAAGAGATACCAGCAGATGTCAGCAAAAACTAAGGTGTCACAAGAGTTTTCAATAAGCACTGTAAGCTTTTTCTCAGGGTGACCATGATTTAGTGGGAAGTTTAACATGGAAGGTCAGTCCAGCTGGGACACACTCCCTTGTTCTGCACTGTCAACCAACTTTTCATTACCTCTTTGGAGGGAAGAGGAGTGTGAGTAGAAAGACAGGAATATGGATTTCTGGGCAGTAACACTTTCCCAAAGACTCAAATACTCTTGTTAAACAACCAACCAACAAAATCTACACCAAACAAGAGAAAGGGATTCTTTTCAGTGGCAAGATGGCTTGTGCTCAAGTGAGGATGGGTTTGGATCCCCAGCACCCACTACAAGTTTGTGGGTGCAGTGGCCCACCTGTAATCACAGAGCTCAGGGTGACCCCCCCTGCGTAAGCTGACTAGCTAGAACAGTCCAATCAGCAAGCTCCAGGGTCAGTGAGTCACCCAGCCTCAGTTAATAATGTGGCAAGCGACTGAGGAGACATCCAAGTCAATGTTGGGCCTGAACATCCATGAGCACACATACACATGCACACTGCTAACACACATACTTACAAATAATGAACAGCAAGCCTGTGTTATTTCTAAAATACAGTCTTTATTAGTTTACTCAAGAGCAGGTATACATTTGCCTATAAACACTGTAATATGCTCACTGTTTGGTCCCCAAATGGACAAAGAACAAACAGCAAAACTGTTCAAGAAGTTTCCCCTTGGAAAAAGTTATTACTGTTTACAAAAAGATCTGTTCAGGAATGCTGAAATATAGCCATTTAATATAAAGTCTTTTCTCCATCAGAAATAGACTCCCCCTGTAAACAAAAATAAATGCCTACAACAACTTCACATGCTGTGTGGGTGACACATGCATGTCACCCCAGGAGGGCTGAGGTAATAAGACTGCAGAGCTCAGCCTGTGCTATGTAGTAAGGTCATGCTACAAAGGAAACAAAACACACACCTGATTCTCTCTGAAGAGTGTAAGCAATGTACAGTCCTAACTCACATTTAGGAGCCAAAACAGGAACAAGAAAAAAAAAAAAAATCACTAAAACCAAATGATCTTAAGGATTCAGATAAAACTGGAGTCTCCCTATATCCCTACAAAATATTTCCTTAATCCAGAAAAAATAAACAATTCTGCCTTTTTAACTTTAAAATGTAGTTAAAAAACCTTTTTGATACTGCTCAACTGAAATTCAGATCCAAGAACTGATTGGTTTCTGGTACCTGGGCCAAATAAAAATTTTAACTTAAAAGTACCAAGGTGAAAATCAAAGGAAAACCAGAGAGTGTCGAGATAACAAAATGAACAAAAACAGTATTCTAATGGTCAACTCAAACTGACTATATAAAATTTAGCTTCAAAGCTGCAATTCCAAACTACTAACAGTCTGATTGAGATACTGTATTCAGAGACAACAGACCCCGTGACAGGAACTCACAAAAGGCTTTAGTTATTACGAAGTCAGGAGACACTCCCCTTGCCCCACAGACACCCATACAGACTTCTCCCCGATATTTAATCAATATCCAGAAACTTTATTTCTATCCCACAAGTTCTAGTTTCTCCATTTTTTTCATTACCCCCACTCCCCCAAGGGGCAGTTTTAGAACTCTCAATCCTCACTGTATGGGTATCAGTTCTAACAGCACAGAAATAATGCTGTGATGTTCTGAAAAAAAAAAAAAAAAAAAAAAAAACGCCCCCCATAGCCCCTTGGAATGCTTAATCACCAGGGAGTGGCACTATTTGCTAAGGATTAGGAGGTGTGGTCTTGTTGGAGGTAAGTGTGTCCCTGGGGATGAGCATTGAGGTTTCAAAAGCCCAGGCCAGGCCCAGTCTCTCTTTCTCTGCCTGTGGATAAGGATATACAAGTCTCAGCTGCTGCTTCAGTATCTGTCTGCACACCACCACACTCTCTGCCATGATGACAACGGGCTAAGCCTCTGAAACTGCTTTCTCTTATAGGAGTTGTCTTGGTCACGGTGTCTCTTCACAGTAATGGAACAGCTACCACGACAAATGTGCAGTCACTTATGGACTGTACTCATGCTTTACATGTAAAAAGAGGAAAAAATTTTCCCCCAGGAACAGATTTTCATCAAGAATGCATAAATTAAAAAGTGAAAAACAGATAGTGTAATGAGCATTTGTGTTCATCTCTAGTTGGAAGAAAAAGAACTGTATTTTAGCATTTAGGTATCTAGGTTATTTTCAAAACAGCCTAACATTCAACTACTCTGTTGCATGGAACACTTTTGTGTCATAGGCCTTGTTCCCAGCTAAGGGCTGGGCCTATCTGCACAAGAGTGCGGAGCCACACCACCAAAGAAATGCTAATAATAATAATGAGGATTCCTATACGACCCTTTAAATAACCATCAAAATATTAAAAATTTGTAGCTATAAATGGACAAGAAAAGTAAATGTATTAAGAACTGGAGTTTTATTTTATTGTCCAAATTAGTCTGAACAGTGATTGCCTGTTTTGTTGACATTAAATAGAAACCTTTCTGATGGTTCAATGTTGTGAAATATCTATTTACAATAAACAGCCTTGAATGTGAAGTTTTCACCATCACTTTCCTGGCACAATCTTCCTGCTCGTCAGAGCCACTTTCCTCAGAGATGTGGGTAACTTTCCATCATCACCAGGTTCCTCTGATGCACATCTGTCCCCAGAACAGCAATGGTATCAAGAGTCCTGTTAGCAGCGAGGCTTCTACAATTCCATTTACGACTGATCCAAATTTACTTCCCGAACGGCCACTGCTCACTTCTTTGCTGCACTTTCGTCTTTGCGGGCCAGTTATTTGGGTGATCACTTTTGTAAAATATCATATGGGTGACAGGGAGATAATAGACCACATGCTTTGCTGTAAGTGAATTAAATAACAGTTGTACGGAGAGCAACCACTGGCAGAACGGAAAAGAAGCTCACGACTGGCACAGAGCACGAAGCACAGCTGCTAAGCACATCCTGCCTTCTGCACTGCTCAGTTAGGACTCCATGCAGCTAACAGCATACTGAGGTACACTCAAATCTGCATAGGCTGCTATGAGATGGGGGGGATTCAACTAAATCATCACTACCAAAATATATGCATATGGGAACACTAAAAGATGCAAACTACCTACATTTGTTAGACTGGCCAAGATAGGCTTAAAGCTGGCTCTCGAGAAACAACCCATCTCAATTTACATCAAATAAACAACTGTAAAGCACCCCAAATGCAACCAAGTTCATACTAAAGTGTTTCAGATTTATTTTCCAACAACTAGGCTATAACTGCATTTCAAAGCGACAGAATTTGAGAGAGGAGGGGAGGGGAGGGAGGGAGAGAGACAGAGAGAGGGGAGTTTTAAAGACCCCATAGTTTGATACTATAAATTACCCAGCATGTTTATTATGGATTATTTCTCCTCCTTCAATTTCTATTTGCTCATACAGCCACTTGCGGTCACAGCGGCACTCAGCTCCACATTTGGTAGACCCACAAGTGGGACAGGCGTAGAAGCATCCCAAGCAGTCCTCATCAAGGCAGTCACAGAGGTCCATGCCACTGAAAATGAGCAGACCTTGGCTGTCGTAGACTTTACTCTTTGCTGGAATAATTTGTCTGTAAAACAAAACAATGAGCTGCACTTCATACATAATACTATTTTTAAATACTGAGTTGAAATAAGATACTGAAAAAATTAAGGAGATAAAGTATTTTTCTGTAGGAATGAAGCCCTCTAAACCAGCAGCACATCATTTATCAGGCTCAGGGCCTAATCTCTACTCTGCAGAAGAAATTTCAGATGGACAGAGGTGGCCAGACTCTACGTGCTGAAAGTCAAAAGCCTTGAAGTGCCTCAGACGGTAAACATGCTTGGTGGGCATGCAAGTTTGATAACTAGGGTGACCCCGGAACCCAAGACAGGAAGCAGAAACAAATGCCAGCTTTCCTCTGACTTTTGTAGCCTGAAAGTTTCTCCTCTGGTCCTGCCAGGCCCCCACAGTTGGGACAAATCTCTCAACCACAGTCCCATAGCCTTTTATAAAGTAATCACACAGAGGCTTAATGATACTTACAACTGCTCAGCTATTAGCTCAGGCTTATTACTGACTAGCTCTTATACTTAAATTAACTGATAATTCTTATCTATGTTTAGCCACATGGCTTGGTGCCTTTTCTCAGTTCTTTCTGCCTTGTCATCTTGTCTCCTCTGTGTTTGGGTGGTGACTCCTGACTCAGCCTTCCTCGTCCCAGAATTCTCGTCTGCCTACCCCGCCTATACTTCCTGCCTGGCTACTGGCCAATCAGTGTTTTATTTATCAACCAATCAGAGCAACACATATTCACAGCATACAGAACGACATCCCATATCAGACTTTCACATACATACCATGGTATATGCATGCATTCACACACTCGGATGTGTACACAATATAATCAGAAGAAGAAAAAGGATTCTGTAAGGAAATGTCCCCTCAGGTGGCTTTACACAGGCCTACAGAGGAATGAGTAGTTGGTAGCTTTGACTTGTTTCACTAGTTACCAAATGATACAGGACACAGCCTCCCCTAGAGGTCTTACACTCTAATCAATCTGTTTCATGTTTCTTAATGACTTCTGGCAAATATGGTCTGAAAATACTTTAATCACTCAACGGAAAAACTTAACAGATGGAATAAAGGTAAAAATGTCGATTCCGGTTAGAAAATAGCCTGACCTGTTACCACAAATGTCAATATTTTTTGACACTCAATTTAAGGACATATTTTAAATGACTTAGTTCTTGTTCAATCTGTTGACTGCCCTAGAACCATGTGTCTACTTCGGACCTGTGCAAAATCCAAAGTACTCTGGATACTCATAAAATGCAATGACTTTTGGGTCAGCTGCCTCCCAAGAAGCAAACATATGAAGACGAGATCATCAGCATCAAATTTTGCAAACAGCAACTTGGCCAAACACCATTTTAATTCTCATTCCAAAACATTACCTCATTCACCTCATGCTACCATCTCAGAAAGAAGCTTCTAGAATTCCAACGGACACCTTACTTTCCTATGAGTACTAGCCAAGCCTTTCAGAAGGTTTCGCAAATTCAGAATACAATTTAAAATGACTGGTCAGAAAACTGAAGGTTAAGGAAATAATCGTGGAGGCAAAGCCGATGGGAATCAGCAGGTTAACAGACAACCTGCAGACTGAGAGCCAGCAGCCTACCTGTCAGAGCCAGCGCTCGAGTTCTTGGTCAGCTTCCTTTTCTCCCTTTTTCCACTTTCTGGAGCAAATTCAGTTTGCTTTCCCGGGTTTGTGAATTGCAGGGACCTCAGAGCCTTAGCAGTTCTTCCCTGAAAGAAAGTAAGGAAAACTGTACATTTCAATCTCGACACCACACAGCAGTACTTTACTTAGCATTAGCCCAGTGCATCCCCACTCGGGAAGGCAGTTTGGGACACACATGAAAAGGAACGTGGGAAAATCCACTCTTGTAGTCTCTATTCCACCTTTACTGTAGTAGTGAATCATCTGTACTGTTCCTGTTCCTTTAGTCTCTTGGGCAGCAGGTGCCGGACACTGGCACACTAAAGACAGCCATGGCTGCTGCCACCGGAGGAGGAGGGAAGACAGCCAAAACCATTCCAACAGCACAGAACCAAGGTTCCAAATAACAATTCCCTGGTCCTTCAGAACCTCTGACACTAGGAGGAGAGAAGCAACGAGGCTGCATGTTCTGAACTGTACTGCAACGTTTTCTTAAGGCTCGGGCAAAACAAAATCCTGGTGCTTAAGGGTTTAAGTTTGTTATTCGAGGAGGTGAAAGTAAGTGGTTTTTCGAAATGCTTTCGTACACCCCAAGTCAAGACGAGATGATGGGAAATTGGTCATGTGAGAACAATGGGCACGAGGTGAGGATGCTGACGTGATAGAATCAACAGGTATCTATGATGACTTCTGGATAGCGCTGGTCCTGGAGACAGGCCTGAGAGGAACCCAGTGCACACAACTGAACATTTTAACTGGGTTTAGTAACACAGCAGAAAGGAAAAAAGAGAGGGAACAGGCCAGCAGCAAGACAGTGCGCAGAGAGAAACTGACAAGTGCTCCTGACAGCACAGGCAGCTGCAGGAGTCTCAGCTTCTGCTCAACAGGAGAGTGAAATGACCTGCGTGTGGGCACGAGACTAGGGAGGAAGCGTACAGTGTTTCATACTTCACGATGTAAAACTGTGTGCTCTTTGAGCACGGGGAACCCTAAATTTAATCTGAGCTATACCCAGAATCTGGAGGCAGAAGCATTATGAAAAGTCACAAATATTTCAAACTCTTAAAGACGAATGGGATACTTTCAAAGGAGAAAAACCGACGTTAAACTCAATGACTCCTGGGCTCTGTGACTCATGCCTGGGAATCCTAGTTCCGGGGAGGCTGACAGAAGATCCCTGCCCTGAGACTGAGGCTGGTCTTGACTACATGGAGAGTTCCAGTCAGCTAGAGTAAGCCTCCATATTAAACCAAACAAAAATCAATTCTAAGCCAGGTCTTTGACTCCTGCACAAAAAAGGACATTCTTCCTGGTGTGTAGTGTCCAGCAGGTGACACATCCATTAGCTACTTAGTGCCAGGAAAGGAACTAAGTTCCCCAAGTCGGTCTACGCCAGCGTTCTAAGGGCCATTCCTAATGGCTTCTTCCTAAGGTCTAAGAATAGAAGCTGCAGTCTTGGAGTCTTGGGCACACGATGCTCTTTCTAGGCCCTTGTTTACTGCTCATTCTGGACCTTGAGTGTATGGAAACATTTTAAACATAATTTTCTTTCACCTCAACTTTAAATCTGTTGTATGCTAATGAATGTGATAAAAATGTAAACATAATTCCTCACAGTTACTCTATCCAGCTTAAGTCCCAAACTGTAGAAAGTATTTGCAATCGCATGTATACATACATCTGATTCGGGTTTCCTTCTCTGGCGGTCATCTGAATCAACATCCACACTTCCATTGATGATCTGGGTACATTTGGGGCAAAGCTTCCAACCAGGTACCAGCTGTCTTCCAAACTTTGCACTAAGAAACGTGGCATCATCTAAGTCAATTACATGCAGATTCTTTTTGGCTAGCTTTTTGTGTATGTTAAATGGGTCACAACATGACTTCTGTAACTCCTCAAATCTGTCAATATAAATTTTGACATGATGCAAACAAATGGTATTATTCCCAGAAAGGGTCATTCCAGTCCTAAGCTGAAGTAAAAGCATGTCATTTGACGACAATTCTTGCAAAGTCTTGAAACCTGTGTGCCGAGTATAGAAGGTTTTATGGCAGTCATGGGTGGTCCGGAGCTGGACTCCAACTGAACATGGATCCATCATCCTTGAGTCTAGCACGTTTCCCCTGTTTTGTCTAGAAATCTCTTTGGTAGGTCAACCTAGAGAAAACATTAAAGACAGATTTACAATGAACACTCTGATTTGGAAAACTGCAAAAAGGAGTCAAATGCAGCACTTCTTTAGAAAACAAAAGCCAAACACAGCAAATAAGGAGTAGGAAACAGCAAAGCCTACAGTAAGTAAGAATGCATTTAATCATGGAATGTGAGAAACAGTCCTTGCCAGGTCAGAACTACACCAGAGTACTTCCTATCACAGCTACATGACTTAAGGAGAGAAAGAAGAAACAAGAAATATCCATGTGAGAAAAGAGGTTCAACAGACAAACTGCTTAGAATAGAGGATTTAACGAGGATGCCGGGAACCAAAACACTGTACAGGTTACACAATACACAAATGTTGCAAAAGACACAGGAGACCTTATGGGAGTCTACAAATTCAATACCGTTTCAATCAAAAGGCAATCGGGAATTCTATCCCATCTTGTTGGAGTGTGAAAACTGGTTTGCACGAAAGAGTAAAGATCTGAGAAAACGTGAAAGAAAGGACAGCTGGTTTACTAGAAAGATGATTAAAGACAGTATGGTATGGCTGTAGTATAGACAAACACACGCGAACAGACTGGGGTTGGTGTATGACGTGGTACTAAAAATAGATGGGCATTAAAAAATCCAAGTGAAAAGGACTATTGGCTAACATGGAAAAAAACACAAAATTAAATCTCTTCTGGATGGACAAACACCAGCTATAGATGACGAATCACACATACAAAGCTTAAACATGAAAACCTTTACAAGAAAATACAGAGGGCTGTGAGCCCATTGCGGTAAGGCTCCTCTCTCTGGGCCCAGCACTATCCCCCCATGGCCATCTTGGAGTGGTGATGTCTGGTCTGGTACCCATAGCAACGACCTGACACAGTGACACTACGCTGATGAGGGAAACCCTTCACAGGAAGAGATAGGTTAACTGAAGAGAGGACTCAAGGACCCAGCCTCCAAGCTCTTGTCATGCATGATGGGGCGAGCCTCTGCAGCTGTTTCTGGGTTACTCTCATCAATACTCGGTAACATAAGCCAAACAAGCTCCCTGGCTCACCACTGGTACTTTGGTGGATCATGAGAGGTTTGTGGTTGGTGTCCCACCTGTGCTAGGCAGATGTTTGATCAGGGTCTCCCCAGGGAAAGAAAGGTAATGAAACAAACTGCGGGGCCTGCTGTGCAAGTATTACGATGGCCTGAAGTCAGTCGAACAAGCAGAGAATACACTGTAGTCCTTGAGAAAGCCTGTGTGGGCTGAGACTGCCAGCGATTCACAATGGCAGTTGCATGGCTATTGCTATGTATAACAAGACACCCATCTTGGTGGGTGATCCGGATGAAAGAGGGAATGAGGTGGAAGTGCTGGCTGCCACTTCTTACAGGGACCCAAAAAACTTGGAACCCAAGGAGAGAGTAGTGAAGGAGAAAACAAGGTAGAAATGATCTTAGATACAGGAGAAGGAAAATTCACAATTCAGTATGTAGATGGAATCCTTAACAATGGGCTGGAACAGGAAACTCAAGAGTACTCTGCCCTGAACTCCCTGAATTAGACATAAGGCCCTGGGTTCAATTCCCAGCACTGTATAAACAGGAGTGATGGCATACTCTTACACTGGAGATAGAGGCAGAATGATTAGAAATTCAAGGTCATCTTCAGCTACTACGAAGCCCCTGGAGGCCAGTCAGGGCTAGAGACTGTCTCAAAAGAGGAAAAATGTTATCTCGGAACTCAGGAAGTTCAGTTTTAGAAATCCCAGCTTCTAGAGTACTATAATTTTTGATGGGTCAACTGTAAAACTGCCTGTCCAATTATTGCATTTTTAATGTATATAAGTGTTTCCTGCATGGATGTCTGTGTACTACATGGATGCAATGCTAGAAAGTGAACTGGGAGCCGGGCGGTGGTGGCGCACGCCTTTAATCCCAGCACTCTGGGGGCAGAGCCAGGCGGATCTCTGTGAGTTTGAGGCCAGCCTGGTCTCCAGAGTGAGTTCCAGGAAAGGCTCAAAGCTACACAGAGAAACCCTGTCTCGAAAAACAAACAAAAAAAGATTTATTTTAATTATGTCCTACATATTGCTAACAAGTTAATCCCATTTGTCTGAATAAATATCTAATGGGGCAATCCTGTACCTTTATCTGCTAAATTTGGCAACCCCATTTTCAAAACTTTCTAGTAAGCACAGAGCCTTTGCTAAAATTGATTTCCTGAAGAATCATTTACAGAAACTGCACAGTTTAAATGCCATATCTGAGGGTTGGTGTTTCTCTCTCAGACAAGGCTGTTGGTAACAGACAGATGGTCCAGTGTTAGCCATGTAAGCCTAGGGACCCAGGTATCAGCCCTAGGGCCCACAAATGCAGAGAAGTACAGTGCTTTGGCGCACATCTGGAATCCTGGAGACAGGAGGATCCCTGAGGCCTGTTGCTAGGGAATTTTACTGAACTAGGGCACTCCAGGCAGAGCAAAGAGACCCAGTCTCAAAACACACAGTAGAGAACGATTGAGGAGGACATTCACCATCAACCTCTGGTCTTCATGTACACCAGCACCCTCTTCCCCCATCACACATATAACCTGATCACACACAAACTGATGCAATAAAAATGGAAGTTACAGTGGTTTACCAACACTTGGTAAACCATCAGCGTAAAAGTGCACACGCCTGAGTCAAGGCAGTCAGCCTTGGGAAGTGTCATTAGCTTCCTGATTAAGTAGTCAGTTTATGTATGGTCAAGAGTCAGGTTAGCTCAGGTTAGCATGGACCTTTAGGCAGTCATCCATCTTGAGCGGTCACATTCGGCCTTCTAAAGCTCGCACACGGGTTGTTTCTTCTCTGCTCCACCCCTCCATCCCTTGTTCCAGCTCGTTCTATGCTCTTACAGGTTAAAGTTCTGCCACACAGCCCTTTGGATCTGTTTTCCCAGCAACCACTTCTTGATTACAGGTGAGAGTCACTACGCCAGCTCAGAAATACTATCGTTGACTGCTTGTGAATTACTCTCAGACCCAGCAGAAACCAGAATCACACCCTTGATGAAATCCGCAGTAAATAGGTGGTGAGGGTCCATGGACTTCCTAACTCACCGTGGACTATGTCAGTCTATACCTTTAGTTCATCACGAACATCTTACCAATAAAACATTTCATTTAAACTGATTTCTACCCAGTTACTTGGTTGATAAATGCAAACCTTCATCATGTATACGTGTGTGACGGTAATGATTTACCAGCCTTTCCCTTCTGCGGAAAATTTAAAAAAGGCTGGTGGCCCATGCCTTCAACCCCAGTCCTCTGGAGGCAGAAACAGGCAGATCTCTGAATTCCAGGCCAGCTTGGTCTACAAAGTGAGTTCTAGGACTGCACAGCAAAATACTATCTCAAAAAATAAATTAAACTAATAGAAAAGATCAGTAGGTTCCAGACATTCTTTCTGATAAGTGTAGTCTATAAAATTCCCGGGTTTCTCCGTGTAGCTTTGGAGCCTGTTCTGGATCTCACTCAGTAGACCAGGCCTCAGAGCTCTGCCTGCCTCGTCCTGGGATTAAGGGTGTGCACCACCACGGCTCCACCTTGTTTTTGTTTTTTAAATAGCATTAACTGAATTCCTGGGCATTTTATATAACTGGAAGCTTGGGATTTCCAGCGGCTGCTTTGTTTATCCATTTATGAATAATTTAATGAACTGCTCATCCCCACTGGAAAAAACACTTAACCCAACTTCAGGTTGCACTGTCTCTAGGTCCATCAAGTTTGGCCAACCACTCACTGGCCAAAAGCTCCTCATATGCTGGCTCTGGGGTTTCATGTTCTCCAACTACTACTACCACATCAAGCCGTCTGTACGTCCGTCCCACTTGCTCAAAGCAGTTCTTCCCCGTATCACCTCATAGCGTGAAGGCGCGCACTATAGTGTACTTTCCACCAACCCATGTAAAAGAATAATTTCAAGTCTTTCTGCTTTCTAGAAACATCACACCTCGTTACTTGTAAGTTCCACCGCAACCCTGTATGGGATGCATGCATTAATGCTCCTGTGCCATCGCCACATCAGAATGGTTCAAACCATCAAACAGGTCCAACAAACACCTATCACGTACACGATACTAGGGTAGGAATTTAAAAACAACAACAAAAACCCAACCCACTGAAGTGCTTAACCAAATCACACGGCTAGGGGTGAGAAGATTGTGAATTACAAACTTAAAAGAGGGGCCTGGAGAGATGAGTCAGCGGTTAAGAGCACGGGCTGCTCTTCCAGAAAACCTGGGTTCAATTCCCAGCACCCACACGGTGGCTCACAACCTCTGTAACTCCAGTTCCCAGGGAATCAGGCGCTCTGTTTGACCTCCCTGGGTACCAGGCATGCGCTGGAGCACAGACCCATATGCAGGCAAAACACCCACACATACCAAGTAGTTTTAAAAATTGTTTTGAAAATCGGGCGAGTTGGCGCACGCCTTTAATCAGCACTTGGGAGGCAGAGGCAGACGGATTTCTGTGAGTTCGAGGCCAGCCTGGTCTACCTAGAGACTTCTGGGACAGCCAAGGCTACCCAGAGAAACTGTCTGGAAAACCAAACCACACCAACAAAACTTTAAAGAGCCAGGCCTGGTTACTCTTCATCTGTAATCTGCGCTACTCAGGCGGCTGGTCGGGTTGGAGGCAGTCCAGCAAGAGCGAATCCCCAAACGGATGAGGCAGGGGGTGCAGCTCTGCCCCGGAGCCCTACAGCGTGAGCGAGGCCCCGGATACAACGCCTAGTGCCAACTACAAAACTGCAGGCTGTGGCCCAGAAGCGGGGGCGCACCGACTGTAGTCAGGGCACGGCAGGGTACCAGGCTGCAGCTGCAAGCCGCAAGCCCCCTCCGCCGTGCAGGCCTCCCCTCCCAACCCTCCTCCGTGTACCCCGCGGCCCCCTACGTTCCACTCACGTGCGGCCCGGTCTAGCTGAGCTGCCGCGGGTCTCCGCCGACCTCCGGAAAGCACCGTATCTGCACAGGCCAGACTCGGCTCTCCACACTCCCGCCTTCCCCGCGCCGACACCGAGAGGACGGCGAGTGCGGCTAGAGAGGCCGCGTGCACCATGAAAACCAGCCGGGAGCTGCCTAGAGCGGAAGCCAGTTCGGCCTCCTCCGGAGGCGGAAGGGTTGGGTTCAGGGAGGAGGGGGATGATTCAATCCAAAGCAAGAGTTGCTTCAGAGGCTCGCCCTGGGGTGCTTGCACCTCCCCCGAGGTTCGGGTGTTGGGAGGCCCTTAGCTTTTAGGAGCTTCCTTAACTTCGTTTGCAAATCTATTCTGGGCAGAGTGAGTTAAAAGCAACTCAGGTACGGACACTTTACAGTCTCACATTTTAATTTTGCTTCACTCCAACTGAAATACATTCCGAAATCCTCTCTTTTATTATACACTATGAAAATAAGTATTGCTTTGAGTAAAAGGTACCAGGAATTTAACCTTTGCATTTTTGGGCGGAGGAAAGAGACTGAAACTATGGTTGTTTGTTTTGCGGTGTGGTTTTTGTTTTGCTTTTGAGAGAGGGTCTCAGACACGTAATTGAAGCTGGAGCCTAGAACTCTCTGTTTCCATGCGTCTGTGAATACAGTGATTTATTTTGAGAATTTCATGCATGCATATGACTTGTTTGGATCAACTCCACCCCCACTGATGCCACCTAGAGGTGCAGGAATGGGTTCATTCTCTGCCAGTTAAAGAATTAAAAAGGAGGAAAGCATTACCAGAAACCTTGGGGCATCCCTGCAGACTCAACATAGGATACCTGGGAAGTTGGGCCCCTTCCTGGGGATCTTTGTTTTATTAATAAGAGAGTCAAGAATAGACTCAAACAGAAACTCAAGGATAATTTATTAGAGTTTAAATAGAAAAACGCAGGGCAGGCAAGTTATTAATCTCTAAGTTGCCCCAAGGATGCATATGGAGAAGATAATCTTGCAGGGCAAATGCAGGCCATGAGCAGGCCGCCTCAGGGCAGAAGGGTAGAGCTTCAGAAAAAGAGGAAGTCCAAGCTAAGTTTACAAAGCATACTTAAACTCTGGCCAGCATCTGAAGCAAAAACTTGGAAGCAAAGAAAAGTACAGTTACACAGTTTTGAGTCAAGCCTCAGAAAGTAAGGCAGACCCAGCCAGATCAGCCAAACCTAACCAAGGCCCTGCTCTTAGGGGTTGCACAAAGGGCTTGGAATTCTGGGGAGGGAAAGTACATTATCTTAAACTGTAGAGGTCACCTAGCCAGGTCCCTGCCCCATCAGATTAGCGCCCCCAAGGGAAGTGACAAGGGCATGCCTACATCTAGACGTGATTCCATTCCCTTCCCTCCAGCTCCTCCCAAATCCTCCCACCACTTCTCACTCCCAAAGTCAGACAAAGAGAGTCCATTCAGTGCTCAGTATTTTCTGTGTAGGGCCATTCATGGAAGACTATCAGGAGTTGCAGCCCCAAAGAAAACGGACTCTTCCCCAATACCCATCAACTGCCAAGAGGCCTCAGCTGACAATGGGGCTTCATGGGATCCCCCCTGTTCATTCCAAAGCGGCCCCCCAAAGGCAGTGCTGGTGACCTAAACAGAAGGGATCTGGCCAGGTAAACAGAAGCCTAATGGCAGGTTTCTGTTTAACAAGGAACCTCCCTAATCCTTCAGGAGCCTCCCTTAGCCCTGTCCCAAAGGTCAACTACCTTGGGCAAGGGTGTCTTGTTCCCAGTCAGTCAGCGTGTATGAGCTCAAAGAAAAGCTCTGACTGCTTTTCTGCTATTTCTGCTTTTCTTATCCCCCTCCCCTGCTCACACATAGCCTTGGCAATTTGATCATCAATGAACCCTTCTATCCACGAAGTGGTCCATTTTGGTGGTCTCAGTGAACCCTCCATTCCAAATGGCTGTGTTGTTTTGGAAGTCTATGAGACTCTCTGCCAACAGCTTGAAAGGGGTAAACCACACCTGGCAGTGGGTAGACAACATATGAGACTATTTTGGGTGTCTCCACCTAAATGTGACTGAATTGGGTCTGACAAAATTGTCGGTTTAGACATACCATGATTTTTTCCTAACAGTTTTTCTATTCCATTTTTGACTGCAAGTGACCCTCTGTTCCATCATATTTTCTATTTATTTTAACTTTGGCATGCCGTATAGTTTACTAACTTACTACATATATTTAACACAATTCTGCCTATGTTTCCACAAAGTGCACGCTTACTCATATCCTAAATTTAAAACATCCTACGAGCTTTGCATTTATCTCCTCAGCTACGCGCATACTTACTGGCTACAGTTACCACTTCTTATGAATTTCATCCATCCTTAATTAAGCTGCAAAGGCACTCAGCATCGTTGGAGTGGAAAGCTGGAGGAGGCAAGTAGAAGACAAATGGTGTCCTTTTTATGCTGCATTAGAGGCTGTGTTTTATCCTGATGAAAACTGTAAAACTTTTTTAAAAAGGAGTGTGGAATAAAGGGAGGAGCCGTGACCCGGAATCTCTTATGCTGGTGAAATGCCTCAAATAAGGTTTTGTCTCTATGGTGATAAAGCAAGAGAGCATTCCCTCCCTCTTCTGTTCCCCAACTGCAACATCATGAGGCATTTTGGGTTCTATCCACTAGGGGGTGCCAACTGGTCCTTAACAGAGTAGGGATGGGAAATAGCTGAGCATCCTAAAATGTACAGGACGGTCCCTGCAAATGCTAGCTGGCTCAATATTTCAAGTCTTCCAAGCCTGAGAAGCCCTGGACTGAAGGATTGAGGAAGCCACAGTGAGGATAAGCGTTCATGAGGAAGAAGCATTGGGCTGTTGGGGTTGATTCGACATAGACAATAGGAAAGAGAGGAGGGTGTGGGCTTGCAGAGCTGGAACACAGAGGGAAGAATGAGGCGGGGAGAAGGAGACAAGGCCTTGGGTGTTGCAGGAGCTGTGTTTCACAGAGCAAGTGAGGATGTGCAGGTGAAAGAAAGCGTCGGGATGAGAGGAATCTAAGCCGGGAGAGGATTGGGAAATGTCAGTCTATAGTAACTGCTACATCCTTGGAGACAACGTAGGTAAAGAGAACAATGAGCTGGCCAATGGATGCCCGGGGTGAAATGAGAAATGGGGCTGAAAATGAGTTCAGAATTCTGGTTCCTCATTCTCTTTCCTCCATCAGAATCTCTGTCAACCAGACTGGAACCTCTACACAGAAAGACCAGGAATGTGATGTGCTGCAAACAGTCTTGGGCATTTTTGAAGCATAATGAAGTTTGAGAATGATAGCTGTAGGTATCAGAAGAGCTGTCTGAGAAGGAGCAGGCAATAAGGCATCAGGAAAACTATGAAAGCAGAGTCCCACAACCCAGGAAAAGAGCACTGAAAATAAGGCTCTCGGTAGAAATGGCGGCTGTGGGCAGAACTGGCCAGTTCATTAGACTCACAAGTATAATGAGAATCAATGTAGAGTTGTAAGTTTTCTATTAGGGATGTGAAAAGGATGAAAAGAAGCTGGCAAGAATTAATTTTAGAACTTCATTGTTTCCAGCCATGGTGGGGTCTCATCTGTGATCCCAGTAACTGGGAGGCAGAGGCAGAATGATTGTTGCATATTTTAGGATAACCTATGCTACAATATGAGAGACTGTATGCAGAAAAACAAAACACCCCAAAAACAAACCAAGCCAAACCAAACAAAAAGCTCAAAGAAAAAGAAATATATTATTTAACCCAATCTTTCTGAAACATTTTAAGATATAATTAACATGAAAGTGTGTGAGATGTGCTACATTTTTTAAAAAATATTGAGACCTGGAAATTGAATGCTATATCTTGAACACTTCTCAGTTTGCACTAGACACATTTCAGATATTCAGTAGCCACACATATTAGCACAGCTGCAGAAGTATATCTGAAAAAGAATGAAAGAAAACCGATAAAGAAAGTAAAAAATTCAAAGGACAAAGTAACCTCCTTAACTGTGGTGATAAGGTGCTCTTAGGGGGTGTGACAAGACCCTTTTCAGGGAAGTGTTCAGAGCACAGCCAGGGTTTAAGATGTCAGCTGGTAGAGCAGTTCATAGACACTTAAGGATGTGGAAAGGAATTGAGGCTCAGGAGGGTGTGGGCATACGCAGCGGCTTAGCGAGAGATGGCATGACATTTGGCAGGCACCATGGACAATTGAAGATGGTAAATTCTCAGGTAATTGGTTTTCATTTTTTGATTTTTTTTTTTTGAGACAGGGTTTTTCTGTGTAGCTTTGAAGCCTGTCCTGTATCTTACTTTGTAGACCAGACTGGCCTCAAACTCACAGAGATCCGCTTGGCTCTGCCTCCTGAGTGCAGGGATTAAAGGTGTGTGCCACTACTGCCCAGCCTGGTTTTCATTTTATAAACTTTCCTTTTGAATTTTAATTCATGGAAGAGAAGTGTTTGAGACCTGCCCATCTATGGCTTTATGAATTTTTGGTTCTCTATTTCCCAGGTCCGGAAATCATCAGTGTCCCCCGAAGCCTACATTGTTCTGCACCTGTTATGACCCCTTGTTGCCCAGGTAACCACCATTCTAAAGTCATTTGCCATAGACTAATTTGGCAGTTGCTTAAACTTTGCAACTAGATCACATGTAGTCCTTTGGATTTGGCTTCTTGTGATTATCCTTATCTCTGAAATTCATTCATGTTATATGTTCTGACAGTTCCTTGTCACTGCCAATTGTATTTCTTGCTAAAATTGTATTCTAAAGATTTCACTAATGATACAAAATTTGGTTCATTCTATTTGCAGCTCTTATAAGTACAGCTGCTGTGAAATTCTACCGCACCCTCACCCTCACCCCACCTCGTCCCCAGCCATTTTCTTTGGAGACAGGATTTTGCTGTGTAGCCCAAACTAACCTTAAAGTCACTATGTAGCCCAGCCAGGTTGGCCTCAAGCTCACAATCCTCCTGCTTCAGCCTCTTGACTGTAAGGGTGTGTCCATAGCCCATTCATACAGTGTCTTTCTAGGTCACATCCATTCACCCTTGGCTCAGAGATGTAGTGGGGAGTGGGATTGTTGGGTTATAAACTGTGTGCGTTCAATTGGAGTAAATTCTAGCAGAATTTTCCAAAAGT